CCAGAACCCTGTTATTTGGGGGGTTGTGGCAGCCCTGTGTCCCAGGCATGGCAGGGTGCCCTGTGCCGTGGGACTGCCCTGCTGCAGGGCTCAGCTCCCCTCCCTCTCTCCTTGCAGGGCACAACGGGCTGGTGGCAGTGAGTACCGAGAGCGGGGTGCTGTCACCCCCACCACTGGGGGACAATGGGGGAGCAGGGAGGGTCTGCGCCATGGGCAAGGGAGGGTGTTGGTGGCAGGGCCCATGGGGCTGGGGGCTCCCACAGGGCTGTGGGGAGCGGAGCACTCCCTGGTGGGGGGGGACCACGCACAAGAGGGTGCTCACGGTAACAAGGACACATCCCACCTGGAGACGTGGGTGGGTTTACACTGCCCTCCCCCCAGGCTGCCTACCTGCAGCAGGCAGGGGTGCGCACAGCCGTGCTGGAGAAACGCCATGTTCTGGGTGGCACGGCTGTCACGGAGGAGATTGTGCCAGGTATCCCTGTGCACCCCGTGTTCCCCCACACCTGGCCAGCCCTGGGTGTGGGCACGCCCCACCACCACCCCACGTCTTCCAGGCTTCAAGTTCTCCCGGGCGTCGTACCTGCTCAGCCTGCTGCGGCCGCAGATCTACACTGAGCTGGAGCTGCAGGTACCAGCGCTCATCCCTCGCCGGGCTGCCAGCACCTCCCGGCACCCTGGCAGGGGGAGCCCGCTGGCAGGCCGTCCCCACAGGGTCGGGCCTGCCATTCCTGTCTTGCAGCGGCATGGTCTGAGGGTGCTCCCACGGAACCCCTACTCCTTCACCCCGCTACTGGAGGACAGGAGCCCCCCTCGCGCCCTCCTGCTGGGGCACGACATGGCTCAGACCCAGCGACAGATCGCTCAGTTCTCCCAGAAGGATGCGCAGGTACTTCAGGGGCATGTGTCTGGCATGGCAAAGCCCCCGAAGAGCTGCCCTGCCCAGTGGAGCAGCAGGGATGCTCCTGGGTGAGATATCCATTGCACCCACCATGGCGCAGTCCCTCTTGCCCCTACTCTGTCCCCTTTCAGGCTTACCCTGAGTATGAGGCGTTCATGGGGAGCTTGGTGTTGGCCCTCGACCCGCTGCTAGATGCCCCCCCAGTGGATACAGCTGCTCTGGGGCAGGGCTCCCTGCTCCAGCGGCTCAGGGCCCTGCGAGCCCTGCGGCCCCTGCTGCGGGCAGGTATGTCTGGGATGCCAGGACCCCAATGGCAATGGGTGTTTGCCCATGTTTGCCCACACCTGGAGCGGGCAATGCAGGGCTGTTCCTTCCCAGAGCACAGGCTCCCTGGGAGAGCCCCAGCAGGGCTGACAGGCTCTGGGAGGCTTGCCCACTGCCTGCTCCCAAACCCAACTGGGTACAGGCAGCTGGCCCTGGTACAGCCGTGCAGGTCTCGCATCACCTCTCCACCCCTAGGGCTGGCACTGGGGCGGCAGCTGCCCCGTTATTACGAGGTGCTCACAGCTCCCATCTCCAAGGTGAGTGCTGGTAGTGGTGGTGCAGAGCCACCAGCTGCTTCACTGCTGCCTGCAAGGGTTCTGCGGCAGGCCTCAACCAGACCTGGGCACTCTCTTCTGGGCCAGATCCTGGATCACTGGTTTGAGTCGGAGCCCCTGAAGGCAACTCTGGCCACTGACGCCGTGATTGGAGCCATGGCCAGTCCCCACACCCCCGGCAGTGGGTGAGGGTCCCTTCCCTTTGGGGCTCATGGCTGCCCCGTCCACCGTGCCACCCTCTGTGCTGGCAGGTCCTCAGCTCTGCTGTGTCCCAGC